TTCCGGTTTATTTGAACCATAATCCAGAAATACAGCATCAATCAACAGTATTCACTATTCACTGTAAAATTATTAATTTCTGGATTTACTGATTCAAAAAAATTCAGAGAATACAGACCTCTTTCCATTTTCTATCCGGGACAATGAAGCAAAAACAGGTAAAATGGATGAAAATATGAAAAAGCGATTGTACGGATATTTTTCCGTACAAACGGGTATGTGAAATCCGGATTTATGGCACAAATCCTGGAAAAATCTGTTCATAATTGGACCCTTTCGTGAAAAAGGATAAAAATCCGCAAAATTTTCAGTAATTTCTGCCCCATATATGGAAAAACGGTCAAAAATCCAAAATTGATCAGTTATTCTGTATAAAAACTTGCATTTCGGGTAAAAACTTGCATTTCTGGAATCCAGATTCACAAATTATCTCAAAATTTTGCCCTAAGGGTCTATTATTAAGGGCTCAAAATGACCACAATTCTCTAAAAATATTGAATTTTCAGTTTCATTCTCACTTACCCCAATATTATGACTAACTCTGTACAACCATCTAATTTTAATTTAGCAATAATCGAGCCCAACTGAGACTTCTCGAAGACAAATCTGCCAATACGAGTGATGCAGACATAATACCAGCTCTGCCCAAGCTAGAGTTGTAACTGACCAAAATTTATTCGTCCACAGCCTTGGGTGCCTATGGCTGTACTACTGTTGGTAATATTCTTATGTACATGCGTATGGTAACTCTCGTCAGTCTCATCAACGACAGCAGCAATAGTTAATTATGAGTCAGCGTTTTTTACGCCGCCGCACCAAATTAGTCCTTCTCTTTTCTCCTTTTTAATTTCATCTCTCTCCTACTTCTTTATGGGCTGCGCTACTCATTTAGTTGCGCTAACGTTTACGCCAGCGATGAGAAGTGAGATGGACACAGTGGCCCAACATAAAACTCCAGATGAAATAAATATACATTAGAATATCTCACGCATTTTCACGTACCATACCAAAGCCGCATTTTTATAACATTTTTTTGGAACAAGACGAATGTAAAAACTGTGACCACTCTTTTGTTGTTTTCAATTTTTTCTCCTTGGCAGCCACCTCAAAGGATATTATGGTATCCAAATGAGGCACGAATACAATGCACCTTATTCAAATGCGACTAATGCACCCAGACTACCAACACACAGAACAGAGTGTAAGCTTACACGAGAGAGTTTAATACTCATTTTCATTAATTTTACACTCGGATTTTCATATTAAACGCGTTTTAATAGTTTCCGATTGTTATCAGACCACCGATATGTTTTTAATCCACATTAACTGGCATCTATATGTGTGTATAAGCTATTCGTGCAGAGGCACACTATCACAAAAGCTTGTTCACCCATAACTAATGATATGCAGACCGTTTGAAATACAAGTAGCACATCGTGTGGCTGCACTCTTTAATTACAGTTGATGAAATGCTTTCTAATATCTGAGCTCAGGAGAATGACTTTCGAAAAATGAAATATTACTTAATATTTCTCGTAATCTGCGTAATTAAATAAAGTGGAATCGTGGTATAAAACCTCGAAGAAGAACAACAAGTTTTGAATCAGCTAAAATGGCTGTAGAGAAAAAGCTAATGGTTTTGATGAATTTTTTTCAATGTCAAATTAAAAGGTAAATCTTTGACTACAACTTACACAAGTTGGGTCAATTTTTGTTCAATCAGTCTCGAGATATGTATCAAACTTGAAGACAGGATTTTTCGTATCACATGATCATAAAATTGTTTCTAACTCCCTTTTTATCGGGAACATACTAATACAATAATATCTCATATTCTTTCACCTCTTCTCTTATCGGTGATATCAACACTGTAAACTGTGAAGTTAACAAAATGAACAGTAAATTACCGCTCATAAGTCGCACTTGCATATAAGTCGTACCCCAAATTTGAGTACAAAATTTAGAAAAATTCAATATTGTTCCTCAGTAAGTATCTCAAATTATGAGGGTTTTTTTGTCTCCATTATCCTTCAAGATACAACAAAAAGTCAAATAAAAGCCCAAAATATTTTAAAATACACATATAACTTTTGCTCCGAGTTTTTAAAAATAAAGTTTGAAGCTTTTAATTTTTTCATTTTTTTCTTCCAAATTATTGGCTTTGGTATTTAGCTTTTGATTTGCTTTCCATTTCCAGTCCTCATTTCAAAAACTGTCTTGCAGATAAGTCGCACTCTGTTTTTGATGACAAAAAAACTGAAAAAAAGTGTGACTTATATGCGGTAATATACGGTATCACCACGAGAGTCAAGACTCCAGGCAAGATGATGATTGATCTACGAGTATTTGAAGATCTATTAACATTAGCTAATAGTCGAATTCCTATAATGGAAAGACGAATGAAAATTTTTCACAAAAATCATGTGAAAAAAACAATTTTAGGATCATTGATGTAGAAAATATTGTACGGGTCAAGTTGTCATAGGACTGATAACCGCGTTGCAAATTGGTTATCGGTCCCTTGACTCCCATGCCCTTAATATACTATGAGAATTTACCCTCATTAGGAAAAACCTCCCAAATATGAGTCAGAGAGCAGGAGCTAAGTGTAAGAGGTAATAAAGACAATTAAAATTGTAAAAAATGTTTTTTTGGAAAAGAAGGTATCTATAGAACCAAAAAGTAACAAGAATCTTCTATTTTTACAATTTTTAATAGTATATTTCGCAAAGTGGGAGTTAAGGGACTGATAACAAAGTTGCAAATTCACACACACGAGCAAAGGCAAGCGTATGTGGATTTGCAACGTTGTTATTAGTACAGTAATGACCTAGCCGCAGTATTTTTTACATCAAATATCCTAGAATTATTTTACCCAATTTCTTAGGAAAAAGAGCAAAATTAATCTGCGATTATATGCAACTCAAGTTTCTACTGAGCATATAGGTGTGATTCACGTTTTGACGCTACGTAGGGAAATAATATTTATAGGGAAATAATATTTGTAGCGTCATAATGTGAATCACCCATATGTTTTACACAGTTGAATACAATTTTGATGCTACAAAGCAGATAAAGAGAGAACAAGCATTTACATTATTTATCTGCAATACAGATTATTCCTGATTGTTGTAAAATGTTATTCAGGGCGATTTGGGAAAGCTCGATGAAAATAATTTTAACCTCGCGATAAGTACGCCTAACATAACTCCGTTTTAACCACCAAATTTTTCATCCACCCAATACATACAGCTTTGTAGCATCGAAATTGTATTCAACCGTGTAAAAATATGAGTGATTCACATTTTGACGTACAAATGTTATTTCCCTGTGTAGCGTCAAACCGTGAATCATCCTGTATATGTGACTTTTCTCTCGATTGCCTTGTGTCATAACTCTCGCAGTGTATATTTGTGCAACTTTGCAGTGTTAACATCACTGATACCTACGTTACAAGGTGAAAAAGCATGAGATATTGGTGTGTTACTACCCAATAAAGAGGGTGTTAAAACTGATTTTAGGATCATACGATGTGAAAATTGATTTTCTGTGAGATAGCAATATTTCCTTCTGTCACTTTTACAGTACTTACTCTCTGCATGCAGAACGGCCCATGAACTTCATAATGACTTTCTCGTGATGACCATAAATTCTCACAACAAAACCACCTTTCTTCACTGGCGCAACACAACGACTACCTGATTGCATGAGTATTTTTGTTTGTTAACATGCAGCAAAGTGCTAAGTAAAATTATTTTCCTTTGAAATTGAGAGTGATGGCGACCTTTTTGGACGAAAGCTCACCACTGTCAGCGTAGAGGAAGAAAATTGCGCCTCAAGAATGGAGCACATACGCAGTATAACAGTCCACATTGGCGAAAACCGACCCAAAACGATGGGTCAACTTTCGCTGCTCCGCTACATGATGTTCAAATGCTCGAAGGTCAGTTTGCAGTCGCTGTTGCAGCCACAGTGCCGCTCAATCGGTGTTGAATGCGACCAGCGCAGGTGCTGGCACCCCAGACCAAAGTCATTCTACAACGCTACTGGAAGACGAAATCTTCAAAAAGCCTGCTTTGATTGCGAAAACCGAGATTCAACCTGCGCTCACTCTTCAAATGGGGACTCAAAGTTTGGTGAGCGCAACTAGTGCAGGCGCTCGAACTGCGCAACTTCAAAAAAATCTGAAACAAGCCAATCTCAATCAGGACAACGTAAAAGCAAACTCATCAAAACCGTAACTGAACCACTGAAAAAAGACTGTCCTCTCAAACTTTGCGCAACAGCTTCCACTAAAACTCCTGTCAAAAGGCCAGCAGCGCCAGCTGCGAAAAAGCCAATCAAATCTATACTTCGAGGGCAAAAAGTGTTGTTAAACTAGGGAAGCGGAGGCGAGTATCCAAGAGGCGATTTTGACAGTAAAAAGGAGGAGTGGTTCGGAAAGTAGAACTGCGCCACAGAGATCCGGTGATATGTTGCTAGCTAAGAGGAGAGCGGCTAGTAAGAGAAACAGTAGTGCTGAGGCTAAGATGAGGGTAGCAAATAAACAAAGGTATGGGGCAATTAAGAACCAACTGCGCCAATTAATGCAGGTGGTCTTGAAGCGAAATCGACTTCCGAGGAGATTGTCATGATAGTACCATCGGATTCCAGCGGTCCAGAAATTCTGGTAGAAAGTGCGCAAAAGCTTCAATCGCCCACACCGATCCATCTATTAGCCTCGTTACACCAGAAATGAAACCATCAAAGCGCAGCGTCACATTTGCTGATACTGTAAGCATTGCTACAGTAGGAAAACCAATTGCGCAAATACCCATCACACCTGCGCAAGGTTGCAATAAAATATCAATGCTTCCTGAAAGCACACAGGTTTCGCAAACGATTCGGGGACTTTCACCCAGAATACTGCGCCACAACCGAATTTACGCCAGCTACCAAATTGGCACCAGCACTGAATTTGCGCCAGCCACCGAATCTGCAGTAGCCACCGAATTTGCGCCAGCTGCTAAATTTGCGCCAGCCGCTGAATTTGCGCCAGCTGCTGAATTCACACCAGTCTCTGAAATGATCAAACTTGGTGAGAGCGTCAACTCCAACGATGTGACACAAGAAAACATCAGGCAATCGCTGGTCTTGGACACAGTGACTGGCCAAATGACTTGTATTGGTTTGGAAA